TGTGAAAGAGGAAAAACAGAAAATATCTCTAACATCTTGCTTGCTTGCTAGTTGTGAAGCTGTGTCCAACCCATCGTGACTTCATGGACAACACTCCTGCAGGCCTTCCTATCCTCCACCATCCCCCAGAGTCTACTTAAGCTCACACCAACTGCTTCAGTGACTCCATCCAGCCACCTCATCCTCTGCCGTCCCCTTCTTCTTTTGCCATCTATTGTTCCCAGCATTAGGCTCTTCTCCAGGGAGTCCTTCCTTCTCATTAGGTGGCCAAAGTATTTGAGTTGCATCTTCAGTATCTGGCCTTCTAAAGAGCAGTCAGGGTTGATCTCCTCTAAGACTGACTTGTTTTATCTGCTTGCAGTCCAAGGGACTTGCAGGAGTCTCCTCCAGCACCACAGTTCAAAGGCCTCAGTTCTTCAGCATTCAGCCTTCCTTATGGTCCAACTTTCTCAGCCATACATTGCAACTGGGAAAACAATAGCCTTGACTATACAAACTTTTGTTGGCAGGGTGATGTCTCTGCTTTTTAGTATGCTGTCTAAATTTCCCATAGCTTTTCTTCCAAGGAACAAGCATCTTGCCGTACTCCTTTCCCAATTTTGAACCAATCAGTAGTTCCATGTCCAGTTCTCACTGTTGCTTCTTGACCCTCATACAGGTTTCTCAAGGGACAAATAAGGTGGTCTGGCACTCCCACCTCTTTAAGAACTTGCCACAATTTGTTGTGATTGACACAATCAAAGGCTTCAGCATAGTCAATGAAGCAGAAGTAGATGTTTTTCTGGAACTCCCTAGAACTCCCTAACCTCACCTGCACCCAAACTCACCAGTGCCTCCTTTTTGCAGCAAGGAAATACCAGAGAGATTTTCTTCTCTGGAGGGGTAGGGCAGGAAGGCATGCTTTGGAGGCCTCCCTTTTTCCCCTTTCACTTCTCTTTCTGTGGTAATGACAATTTTCTGCAGCAATTATTTCAAATAAATAGGCTTTGTGGCAGTTAATTGTTAAGTACCGGTTATTTGTAACTTGGGTGTTTATAACTCGGGTACTGCCTGCAAACAGTTTTAGCATGCTTCCCCACTCCTCCTTCCATCTATTTTCATGTTATCTCCTTGTTTCCAAACAGATTGCCCAGCAAATGGGAATAAGAGGAGCAATTATGCATTTGTTACTAGGTTATTGTGACCTGTAGAGGCTGAAGCTTAGAAGCAGCCATTTCCAGAGCCACTTTTGCCAAGGGACTCTATGATATTTCCATACCAACAGTGGTAAAATGGTAGTCTCAGGTTCAAATGACCAGAGAAGCTATGGTGCAATGTGGTAACCTTAGTGCAGACCATTGATTCTCTCCATGGTTTCAGAAAACTAATCCTGCCATGGAGGAACTCCAGAACTGGGTCTGGAGAACACAACAGATCCACTGCAGAAAGTTTTTTGCCATTGCTTCTCCTCATGTCATCCTCACCAAAAATGAAGACAAATTTACAAATTGAAAATTAATTATTATAATTTGAATGGAAATTCATTTAAGGGTCTATGGACACTGCAAAATCCATTCCACCCAAGTTTCTCAGATGGGCAAGTGCCTTTCTTTCTGAGGACTGCTAATTGACAGAATTGGATTTTGTGCAAACTCAGAGTTAGGCCAGTTTTACACTCCCCAAAATGTATAAATTCCCCCAAAGTATGCAAAATCCCTAAATGCATATTTTCATGTTTTAGTCAAAGGAGAAATATGCTTTTTGGATGGTATTTTTCCTATTTTGCATAGCTTTTTAAACAACTAAATTTCTGTAAAATTACTTGAAATAAAAATCATTTGTAAGTCTGAGGAATCCATATAATTTAGGAAAAAATGGTCCAGCGCAGAGTCAGTAGGTCAGCTACTTAGAAATTTGAACTCATCTGAGCCCATTTCAGGTTTCGCCAGTGTTCCTAAATACAGCATGTCAGCATAGGGTGCAGGGTGTGCTTTGCTCAGTCTGCTGTCATTATACTGTTGATGGGCCCAATTCTCCCTTCTGATGGTTCTTCATCTTTAAGTTGGACTTGGGTTGGACAGTCCTTCCAATACAAAATGCCTGTGAAATACAGCTCAGTCTTCTGGCAGCCTTCTGAAAGAGGACATGTGGCCACGCTAAGCCCATGTGCCTTCATTTTAAGCATAATTAATGATACAAAGCCATTCCCAAATTCTGGCAATATTATCAAGCATCTGTTTCTACCAAACTGGATGCTGTCTGGTCTTCCCAGTCCTTGGTCTCCAAGATGGCCACTGCTTATCTTTCATGGGTGAGAAGAGAATCCTTTGCTAATGAGAAACTGTAGATAAGCTAGTGTGGTGTTAGAGTGTTGGAGAAACCCAGGTTCAGGTTGCCACTTGGCCAGGAAACTCACTGGGTGACTTCAGGCCAATCAAGGACTCACACTGTAACCTACCTTGCAGGATCACTGGATTTGGATGTATTTTGATTCCGGGCTTATCTCCAATCTGTAATCTGCTTTTATAGGAAGTTTCCCTTTTTTTATTTTGTGACACACCCTTTCCTAACCTGGTATCCTGCTGGTGTTTGGGAACATAATCAGGGTCATCTACCCAACCTTGCTGACTATAGCTGATGGGAATTGTAATCCAAGCTACCTGGAGTTGCCAAATTGGGGAAGGCTGGTGTGAAGGATCCTTGCAGGTCTGAAAACTTTCCTTCAGCTCCAGAACCTGGGATGGGTCTGTACTCTAGGCTATGATTTAATTCAGAGGTCCTGATGCTGTGCTGATGAATGCCATGGAGCCTGAACACACTTCCAGCAGCACCTGCAAAGCTCTTTACTCTCTGCCCCTTTGAAAAAAGAGGTTTAATTTTTTAAAAATCAAACAACATTAGTGTGCCTATTTCTCCTTCCTGTTCCTGAAACTGCTGTGATCCACAGGCTGCAGAAGTGGGAGAAAGAATGAGGTAAAATGGGGAGAACTAGATGAAAGACTTGGAGTGGGAGAATCAGAAAGACAGCGGGGTGGGAATTTGGCCAAGGACTGTGCTAGCCCTCCAGCCTTGCTTGGCAACTACAGCTGTGCTGTGCCTGACTTTGCATCTGCACTGTAATTGCAGAGATTCTTGTTCTTTGTGGAGGTCGATGGTAGGTGTTTTAGGGTTTCCCTGTTTTATTGTGCTACACTTGGAGGATTCGAAAGCCAAGTCTAAATCAGCCCCACAGCTAATGTATCTAAGATGAGACAGCTTGACTGAATGCTGTGCTGCAAGGAAAAATCTCTCTATACAAAGAGCACCTGAAAGACTGCATGGATGGAAATGGGAAGCATTATTAGCAAGAGAACATTTTTCACTCAAATACCATTGAAATGGAAGTGAGATTGGTCAATGTCCCTCTAGTGCTCGTTCCACTGAGACCAATCTGAGAGACATTTCCCATGCACTGTGCTCTGAAATACCTGCCACTTTCAGGGCTGTCAGATTCTCGTTCCTTTCCCACTCTTGATTTCCTGGACTTTGAGTTTTATTTTGTTTGTTCCTCTGTAACAGGAGTAGGCAAAACTTTTGGGCCCATGGACATATTTGCAATTTTTTTCAGGCTCCTGGGTTCATCCCAGTCCTCCACGTGCTGGTAACTCTTGCCTGATTACTGTAATGTGCTCTTTGTGGGGCTGCCTTTGAAGATGGTCTGGACACTGCAGCTAATGCAAATCAGATCAGCACGGCTGTTAACAAGAACCATTCCTGGAGGGCACATCATGCTAGTCCTCCATCAGCTTCACTGGCTGCCCACTTCAGAGTGCTTAGGTTAACATTAAATGGCTTAGGGCTGAGCTATCTGAAGGAAGGCTGGTCTCCACACATCCAGACCACTTGGCTCTTCAGTGGAGGCCCTTCTCCATGAAACTACCCCCAATTAAGTAAGGGGAGAGATGGCAAGGAGAAGGGTCTTTTCCTCTATTGCACCTCGCTTGTGGAACTGTCTTCTGAAGGAAGTGTGTCTGACTCCCTCACTGTTGAACTTTCATCACCAGGTAAAGACGATTTTATTTAACACTTCCTTTTAGTAGTCCTCCTGATTTTATATTTTATTGTTTTATGTTAGTGCTGCTTACTTTGTGCACTATGGGCTCCTGTCCTGTATATTGTCTGAAGTTGGAATTTAAGTTGCATATTGAATTTTATAGTTCTATTTCTATTTATGGTGTTATCTACTTAGGTTGACTGTTTTTATCTTCACTGCTGCCCAGAAAGCCCTTAGGCTATGGGGCATCATGCAAATATAATAAACAAACAAACAAATGTGTCATTTTGACTCATGAACATTTATTTTCAGCATTCCCAATTTTTGTGCTTTCCCCGCCAGATTTCCAGTTTCGCATCCCTCCTTGCCTGGATTCCCACTTTTCTCTCTGCACCACCCACCTTACTTGGAGTCCTAGTATCTATAGTGTTGGTGAGGAATTTGACTAACCGTCTGAACCCCCTGCCCCTCCATAGCTGTGCAGTTTAGCTGGAGGCAGAGATGGGATTAAAAATCTAGCAGTTTCCTAATGACCATGAGGATTAGCGAGATCAGAAATCTCTTGACATCTTTCTGTGACTCATCACCAGATGCTTAATTCAACAGTATGGTCTGCAGCCAGGACAACCTCTCAAAGCTCTCAGGCAGAGACTGAGTGTAATGCTTTAAGAGTAAACTAGTTGCTGGGGTTTATGTGTATTTTTAGAGTTTATTTAAAAACATGCACGCAAACACATATATATGATGGTGTTGATTAAATACTATTCAGTATAATGCTAGTATTATAATATTTTAAAATCTTTTCGCTGTGCTTTAACATTTGTATCCCTTTTGTCAGGATGTAACATGAGCAACTGGGTCGGGTGGTGATCAGCCAGAGCGATGCTGGTCTCCTTAGAAATAATGTTAACATCCTTTCCTGCAGGTATCTAAAACTTGGAGTGTTACAATGGACCACCTGTAATATCTTAATTTCATTCTCCCACAGGTCCTGCGATTCCTGTTGGGGTAGATGTGCAAGTTGAAAGCTTGGACAGCATTTCTGAGGTTGACATGGTATGCAACTTTCATTTAAGCATTATTACTGACCTCATACTTTGGTTTCAGATGAAAGCAAGGGGCTCGACAACTAAGCTTTAATTATTTCATGCCACTAATAAATTGTTAGGAGATTAGTGTGGGTAGGAATATCAATATGGCTCTGCCTTAAAATGCTTCATTGCAGGATGCTTGCCCACAAGGCCTTTACAGCACCATTGGCCTTCCTCAACATTCCTAAAATTTTCCTGGGGGGGTTCCAGCAAAGGTGGGTTCTACTTACAGTTCTGCCATGTTTTCTCTCTGTATTTTCTATCATTTTCCTTGCCATGGAAAATCAGTTAGGGAAATAAGGACTAACTGGCTGCATAATCTGTTCTTCTTGGTGGAGCCCTCTGTGTCCAAGTATTCAGGTACGGATAAAGACCAATTTGATAAATGATCATTATTATTTCTTAATGCTCCAGTGTATACACGATATGACTCTATGAGAATTAATCGTTAGAAGAGTGTTTCTTGGTACGGATTGCACTGGAATGTTTCATCCCTGAAAGCTGTCAGAGTCTGGGGAAGGTGGCACCTCTTTTCCTTCCCAGCCACCATGACAAGGGTGTGTAAGAAACTAGCTTGGGAAAGTGGCGCAGAAGTAAGAAGCACGCTGAGGAGTCCAGACTGAAAGCATCTTGGGACGCAGGGTATCTGGGGACCGTGGGACTCCAAGCTCAGTCCCAGGAGAGGCTGAAGCCTCACCCCTTGTAGTACACGCAAACATTATTCTCTTGCATGCAAGAAGTCAATGTCATTCAGAGGTCACACCAAAAACCTTGTGCAATGTAGCACTCTTTGCACACTTTTGGCATGCCTTCTTTATCCTGACTGTTTAACAGTTTCACTACTGGTGTGTCTCGTTTCTCTTGCAAAACTTAGGATAACAAAGATTACTCACATCTTCCTTTGGAACACATGGCATGCTTAGGTACAATCTTGCTTAGGAACACAAGGAACATTTATATTTCTGCTTGGAATGCAAAGTAAGTTTACTTTTCCTGATAGCTATTTTACCCTTTTCAACAAGGCCACTTAGTAACTCTTTTCTCATTACCATTTTCTTAGCTGGATTAGCTGGTTTTTCACTTACTCCTAGTGCTTCCCACTGAATCTTTCTGTTCGAGTTTTTTTTCCCTGAAATCAAACCTCCTTTACCTTTTTATAAATAGAGCTGTCCTTAGGAGTCAGGGTCCTTTGCAGATTTGTGCAAACTTGTATGTGCAAATTACATTTGTGTTTGTTTTGTTTTGTGCTGTGGACATGCCACCTGTGGAAGCCCCGAGCGCTGACTTGGTACTTATGTTGCCATCTCTAAGTCCTGGAGCAAAGACTGAATCTTTGTTCTGATGCAATGCAATTTTAGTTCTTCCTTTTACTGCTGCTACCAGTTTAATTAATCATTCCCGTGCAACTCTTTCACGGCCTACTGTTTGCATTCCCATGCTGGTACCCTCCCCTTGTTTTGGCATATGACTTCCATCATCCCCCACAATGTCTGTGCTGGCTGGGACTGATGGGGGCAGTGTTCCAAAGCATTCAGAAGGCATTAAGTTAGGAAAGGCTGACTTATTGTACCTGCACAGAGTGGACCAGTTACTGTCCACGGCAGGCTGTGCAGTGGAAGCCATGGTCAGGTTCTGAAGTGGAGGAGGAAGAGGAGGAGTTGGAAGGGCAGGAACAAGTGGGGACTGGAACCTTTGAAGCTCCTTTAAGGTTGTTTAGTGATGTTTCTCACAGTGAGTGGGGGAGTCACTCTGTTCTGGAAGAGTCACGGGAAGCGTTTTCAGGAAGGGGGGATGTGGGGCCCAGGCCTTGCCTCAGTGGGGAGGCATCAGGAGAGACAAGCTGCTCTGGTGGAGGGTCTCCATCCCGCTTGCTGTCTTGCTCTCCAGTGGCAGGAGCCCTCTGAGGGTGGAGCCTCAGTCTTATTGAAAGGGGGAAACTTACCACAGGGAAGTTTCCAGTTTGGACTCAACCCTTTACGTGAGCAGAGGCTTCTCCTTATAGCTTTGCTAAAAGCTATTTAAACCCTCCACGGTGGAGTTACAATAAAACAACTGCATTTCAAAGGATTGTCTTGAGTCTTTGGAACTAGGAGGAAGGTGGGAATGGACAAACTCATAGCGGTACACTGCCATGGATTTTTTTTTAAATTGAAGGTTGATATAAATGTTTTAATATACATGCACAAAATACCTGGATTTTAATCCTTCATTTGTTAGGTATAGTCAGTCAAATTCTATTAGCTAGAGCAAGGGGGAGAGGGGTAACTTCTGGCCCTCCACATGTTCCATCAGCCATCAGCCCTAGCCAGGAGAGCCAGTGCCAAAGCATGATGGGAGTTATAGGCCAAAACATCTGGAAGGCCACACATTGTCCACACCTGAGTTAGAGTCTAAGGCTACATTCCTATGCACACTTAACTGGGCATGTACCATATTGAATTTGCCGGGACTTACTTCTGAGTAGATGTATACAGTTACACAGTCAGTCATTGACACTCACTGATTCTTGAACAGCAATCCAACCTCAGCCAACTTATTAGGAACATGTAATAGGACTTCCACTTCATCAGAGAAGAAACAGTTGGCACAGCGGCTAGAGAAATTAAGCTAGAGGAAGTAATGTCATTTCTGGTACACCAAGGCATTTTGACTGAGGCAGCTTTTGCTGATGCTTTATCTTCCACATGCTCTCTTCTTGGTGCAAAGTATAGTCATTCTCTTACCACAAAACTATCATAAATAGCAATAGAAAAAGTGGCTCCAAGGAATAGATTGAAGTCACATGATACTGTTTCATTATTTAAACCAAGGCTAGGTATAAAAGAAAATAGACCTCCAGACGTTTTGGACTTCATGTCCCAGCATTCCTGACCATTGGCATACTGGCATGGGCTTCTGGGAGCTCAAAACCACCTGGAAATCTCCCTTCTGTTCACCTGTGGGTTGAGCTTAATGAGCTCTGTTTTCATATTAATTACTGCGTGACTGCGGTGGCGAGGAGCGCTTTCCTTCAGCTCTGGTTAATCTATCAGCTGCGTCCCTACCTGGAGGACAATTGCCTAGCGACAGTGACACACGCATTGGTTACTTCCTGGTTGGACTTCTGTAACGCGCTCTACATGGGGCTGCCCTTGAAGGCAGTCCAGATACTTCAGATGGTGCAAAATAGAGCAGCCAGGTTGCTGACGGGGACTGGGCGTTATTCTCACATAACCCCAGTCCTTTGCCAGCTTCACTGGCTCCCCATCGAAGTCCGGGCTCAATTCAAGGTGCTGGTTATCACCTATAAATCCCTTAATGGCTTGGGACCTGGATACCTAAAGGAACGCCTTCTTCAATATTTGCCCTCCCACCCCCTGAGATCGGCAGCAGAGGCCCTCCTCTGAGAACCCTCTGTGAAAGAAATTAGGAGACTAAGTACCCAGAGGAGGGCTTTCTCTGCGGTGGCGCCCAACATATGGAATGCACTCCCCAGAGAGGTCCGCCTGGCGCCGTTGTTATTTATTTATTTTTTTGGCACCAGGCCAAGACCTTTTTATTTGAACAACATTTTAACAACTTTTAATATTATTTATTGGCTTTAATTTTACAGCCAGGGTGAATCTGGATTTTATGTGCATTATTTATATGGTTTGTTTATTTATTGTATGGAAGCCGTCCCAAGGCTCATGCAAATGGGACGGCATGCAAAAATTCTAAATAAAGAAAGAAAATGTCTGTAGCATAGAACTGAATGCGGAAATGTCTTTCTTCCAATTGCACTTCTTCAGCTGCATGGTTGCTGCAGCTTCCTCCAGCAGGGAACCTAAACACCAGGCACCTGCAATAAAATGGCACCACCTCTGTCCTTCTCAGGATAGAGGTTGTCCCAGCTGAAGGACCAGGTGGCTGCAGCAGTCTTTGCTATCTGCACATTTTCCCTCTGTGGGACAAGTAGAAGTGTGGCACGGGTGGATTTAAAGCACGGACAAAAGAGTGAAAGACCTCTTTGCCAGCACCACACTCTCAGTACACTCCCCTGCTGTGTGCTCTCTCTCTCTCTCTCTCTCTCTCTCTCTCTCTCTCTCACACACGCACGCGCGCGCGCGCGCGCGCGCACACACACACACACACACACACACACACACAGGAGACCCAGGTCTACATCTCCGAATGTCACTTCTGGTGCTCCACCCTCAGTGGCATCGCTTGGGGGATCTGCTCATCCGCTTTGCATCTTGTTCCGCTCGTTCTTCACAGAAGGGAGGCTATAGTGGCAACAGATCTTTCTCTCCCTCCTTCCCCCCCCCCCACTCCCCATGCAGGATTTTACAATGACCCTGTATCTGAGGCACTACTGGAAGGATGAGCGCCTTTCCTTTCCCAGTCATACCAACAAGAGTATGACATTCGATGGCAGGCTGGTGAAGAAGATTTGGGTGCCGGATGTCTTCTTTGTTCACTCTAAAAGATCCTTCATTCATGACACAACCACTGACAACATCATGCTGCGGGTGTTCCCGGATGGCCACGTGCTCTACAGTATGAGGTGAATTGCACTGTAAGCTGCCTAGGAAGGCCTTGGCAATTATAAGCGGCCAATGAGTGAATGTCGGGTCTGTTTTGCCCAGTACTGTTCCAGCTGCAGTTAAGACCTTTCCTACGCAACCAGTGGTGTTCTGTGTTCTGTGCTGCTCAGATACAAAATGTGCTCTTGTTACCATTTCTGTGCAAATGATTCTTAGTCTTGCTGCAGAGCTACACTCCTGATGCCATGCTTTCTGATTGTTTAAAGTGTGGTATATTCTTCCTAGGGGAAAAATGGTGCTTTTTTCATAGAGCATATCTATCTCTATATTTCCTTCCTTCCTTTTTTCTTTCTGCCTCATGGTAGAAAAATTTCTTTGAGTGTGTACCAGATATCCCACATAGCATCATTCGTGATGAGTGGCACATCTGTCTCCCAATACCTATACCATATTTCCTGTTTTTTTTAAACTGACTCAGGATATCTTAATATATGAGTATTTCTCAGTGCAGAGCTTTTCCACACAAGGTTTTTAATCACTGTCTCTACCCTAACTTTCAGTGCAGGACTGAGAGCCAAGTTCTGCACAAGGAACTTTTCCTTTCCTGCTTTTGTGTTACATAACCTCTAGGTTGCACTGTGCTCCAAAGGAGCAGTTCAAATGTAGCATGTGAATATACAGCCAGGGAAAAGGCGGCCCACTGGCACCTAGAGCAAATGCTTGTGTAGTGGTCAGATTTCACCACTGCAATGAAACCAAAATTAGCTCCAATGGATTAAGAGGCAAGCAGTCTTATGTGGAAAAGTTTTTGAACACATCCTGCTACAATGGCTAGCTTCAGACAACACAAGTTGTGGTGTTTTTTAATTGTTGTTGGTCTGTCATGTCGTCTGAACCCAGCTATGGTTATTTCATCATGGTAGGTTTGGTCTTTAGAAACCTGTTTGTTATATAGTTTTTCCATACCACCATGGCTCACTGTGTTGTCTGAACCCAGGATCATGGTTTCCATGGTCTTGGTATGCAACTACCACAGAGTCCTCTGGAAAGAGTGGCAGCTACAGGAGCTGCTCCAACCATCCAGACTCTGAGTGTTGGCCAATGAGTAAGAGGCAGGTGACATAAGCAGGGAGTGATGCATCCTGGCCTTGCATTTCAGTCACACTGGCTGATAGGATGCATGCCAACTGTGAGAGGACTGAATGGGGAGGATAGAAACCATGATGAAGTAAAAACCATTTGATTGTTAAGTAGATCATGGTAAGAAATGGCAAACCATGGTAATCATGCAGGTTTGCCTGTTGTGATATGTGAACACGGTCAATGTGAAACTTACCTTTTCCTTCCCTTTTGGAATGTCTAGGATCACAGTGACAGCAATGTGCAACATGGACTTCAGCCGATTTCCACTAGATTCACAGACATGTACACTGGAGCTTGAAAGCTGTATGTGGTATTTGCATTTCTGTTGGCAATGCTTTCTGAGATGGCTACTCAGTTACTAATGAGATTAAATTAATGGGGATGTATGTATGGAAGAGACCACATAATCCATGGAATCTGCTTAGAGTCTACTAATGCCTTTCTGAACCTGGCAGCCCCCAAAACTTTCAGAATACAATTCCCAGAATTAATGGCTATGGAATTATGGGACTTTTGTCTAACATGTCTAGAAGGTTCTAGGATGGGGAAGGCTGTCATATTGTCTAAGTTAAGCATCATAATCATTTAGAAGTGGATTGAGCACAGAGTACAAAGTATATAGAATCTTGAGGAAAATATCTATGCTGGGGAGGGCAGAAAAAAGCTCTTCAGATATTTTGGGCGTCAACTCTCAGAAGTCCCTGCTAGCATGGCCAATGGGCAGGAGTTAAAGTGCCATGGTAACCAAAGAAACACAAGACCCCACAGCACTTGAAACTAAGGCTGAAGCAGCACATTAAGGGGTAAAGCAAAAGCCCCACTACTTCATCATTCCCCTTTATTTCATCCATAATAAGCGACTGCAAAATGCATGACATTCTCACATCTCCCATTTCACTTAACTGGCAGCCAGGCAGCAGAGACATGTGAGCCCATGCCATGCCAGCGCACTTCTTGCAGTGCACATTGCCAGGCTTGGAGGCTCTACCCGTGCCGTGCCATGCCATGCCATTGGGCTTTTAGGGAGGCAGCGTGAGCTGTTCTTCTGGGCTCTGACATTCATGGCTGATTCGCACTGATTTAATTATTTACTTGCTTGTTTTATAGAAGCTTTTACATACTGTTTGCTTAGCCAGAGGCTGCCTGAATGGTTTACAACTAACAACAACAGCATGTTCATGCCTAGTCACACCTCTGCATATCCAGCTGTGCCTGCAAGCGTCTTCCATTTTTAAACTTTTGGCCTCTAGAGGCACCTCATCCTACAAGAGGAGAGACTGATTGTAACTGAAGGCACAGAATTCTCTTGACTCTCTTCTGTGGAGAACAAGTCTGCATTCTATTCCGCCTTATAGTGGGGAACTAGGTCCAATGAGCAAAGGGAAGTATGAAGGGCCTATTGTCTATTCCTTTTCCTTTCTACTGTCTCTTTCTGGCTGCCCACTGATGGTGAGGAAAAGGAGAATTGTAAAAAGGGCCCCAAGGCCATGGAGGGTGGAGAGAGGGCAAGGCCATTCTGGAGAATCTCATGCATGCTTAGTGAGCCATATCCTTGGAGAAGACCAGCCCTTCTGAAATGTACAGAATCTTGCCAGCAACAAAATCTGCTCCATCAATTCACTGACTTTGCTCCATGATCCTTTCAGTAGAATTCATAAGAGCAGCATTTATCAACATAATCATACCTTGCTTCTTAGCAACAGTCCCTATTGGTTTGTTTCCTTCTTAATTCCTGTTTGTTTTTCTCTGAAATGCTTTTTCTTTTATTGAACAGGCCAAACCAATTCATTTTACAGTTTATTATGCAAATGTTTTATATGGACCTGAATTCCAATGAATCATATCCTCAGTGAATGTGTATCACATGTTGCTGAGATGACAAGATCCTATTTGGTCTCACTGTTTGGCCATGTCATCTTCCAACAATGAATGCTGCAAATTATACTGCTTTCCCCACAGTGCCGTGGTTTTCCATAATGAATTTTGGGAATGGACACTCTGTGATGGTGCCAATAATTCTCAAGCAAATAGATAGATCTCTAATGTATCTATTGTAGCCCCTTAAAGAAAGGAAAGGGACATCTTGGTTGCAGTCCTGTGCATGGTTACCTGAGAGTAAGCTCATTGAATAGAATGGGATTACTTCTGAGTAGAAGGGAGCCGATTTAAGACAGTTAGTATATAGTCATACTTATGCTTACCTGGGAATGAGTCTATAAATAGCCTTTTTTTCTGCTCCCACCCCTGCTCCCAACACCTACAGATGCCTACACAGATGAAGATCTCATGCTATACTGGAAAAATGGGAACGAATCCCTGAAAACAGATGAAAAGATTTCCTTGTCTCAGTTTCTGATACAAAAATTTCACACGACCTCCAGACTTGCTTTCTATAGTAGCACTGGTATCATGGCTTTCTTTCTAATTTTGTTTTGAATCTTTTTATAACCTAGTCTCATAAAGTTGTCAAGTGAAATACCAAAAGTTTCACTAAGCTGCTTTCTGGCCATTATTATTTAATTCTTCCATTTATTTATGTACTTATTTCCCCATTCCAGTTACCCTTTTCACCCCGTTTTCCCTTTAACTGCACCATCTCAGGAGTGGCTTTTCCCATCACCCTCCTTATTTTATTTGCGCATCAACCCTGTGAGAGATGTTGTGCTAACAGAAAGAAGGTCACCCAGCAAGATTTATAGCTGAATAAAAGTTTTAACCAGAGCATTCACAGCACCTTCACTGCTAGACAGCAGAGACTGTCCGTTCTCTGTTCACATGCTCTTATTTGTGAGGACCAAGAAATGTTCACACTAAACACTGACAGCCGAACTGAGATGACACCATTCAGGGGTCTCCGGCGTCCCATCTAGTTTGGCTGCAGTGGGCCAAGCTGACACTCTTTCACAAAGCAAGTACTGCAAGGCAGATATCCATTTTCAAACTAAATGGACATAATACAGGTTTTAATGCAGACATGGGCAAACATAGTCATGTGTGAGGTCACTTGATGCTACAAGTAATGTCATCTATAGGGTTTCCTCCATCATGGAAATGTGTCAGAGGTCCTCTACCCTAACTTACTGTTAATGGATGAAAGCTGCACTTCGTATGGCAGATTGCCTAGTGACAATCTTAAGTAGCATGGTCTATTTGCCTTGGCAACATCACTTCACCTTTGTTTGTTTTTCATTTTCATTTATTTTCATTTCTCTAGCCAACAGGCAGTTCACAACAATTAACCAAATACAAAGGAAACAAATACAAATACAATAAAGCATAATATAAATTCTAAGTCCACCCAATTACAGTAGTCATATTTGTACAATGCACATCATGTGTAGTACCTCCAGATGATTATGACAAATAAGAAAATGGAGGTATGAACCCCGCAATAAACTTCAAGTTACCCCAAATGATACACCTACACATTGAAGAGATTATCTCTACCAGATGGGAGAATAAAAGCTTGCGATTAAGACAGTATTTAAATTTAATCACACTGTGCAAGTGCTATCTATATAAAAATTCTACATATTAGTCTTTCCCCTTTCCCTTGTCCTCCCTTTCACATTCCTTTCTTCCAGCGCCACTCCCTTTTCCTCTCTGCCCCTTCCCAGGCATTGTCCTGTCATAATAAGCACTGCCTTTCACTGAATTATTGCTCATAGCTCCACAGAGAGGTTACACCACATGTTAAGAGCTGCCATTATTAAAGTACTTTTCTCCCAACAGGCTGGTACAATCGCCTCTACATTAACTTTACGTTACGCCGCCATATCTTTTTCTTTCTGCTCCAAACTTACTTTCCCGCCACGCTGATGGTCATGCTGTCCTGGGTGTCATTCTGGATAGACCGCAGAGCTGTGCCTGCAAGGGTTTCATTAGGTGAGTGATTACACCCTGAATGTACAAAGCACAGAATGGCCTATCCAAGGAAAAGAAAACTTCCACACACGCTCATGAAAAACCATACACCCTCACGCTGATTTCCATGCCTCAGACTGTATTCTGCAAAAAGAAATAGGGAGAGGCATATAATAAGGGCGATGGATAGAAGGAGTGACCACAGAGGAAAAAACCTAGAGCATCCATGGGAAAAAGCAGAAATGTGTGTTTTTTGGAGCAACACATAACACTGGAGCGCCTTTCTGCAGCCTCTGCAGAGCTGCCATGCTCTGGAAACGAGGGCTTCAGCTCGGCTCAGCTCAACTTGCTCCTAGATCCACTGGCTTCCTGCTCCTGTGCTAGTATGTGGGCAGCACTGGATCCTGCCCAAAACGCCCCAGGTCTGCTGTATATCTGAAAGTCAGACCCATTCCTGTGGCCATTGGGACGAGGTCAAACAAAGTTCTTTGCTTAATCCGTGGGGACACTTGGAGTAAAACTGTGTGTGGGCCCTTTTCAGGGATCACGACTGTGCTGACCATGTCGACCATCATCACGGGCGTCAACGCCTCCATGCCTCGGGTTTCCTACATCAAAGCTGTGGACATCTACCTCTGGGTCAGCTTCGTGTTCGTCTTCCTCTCGGTGATAGAGTACGCAGCAGTGAACTACCTGACCACCGTGCAAGAGCGGAAGCAGCGGAAGCTACGGGAGAGGGTGAGGGGCGCTTCCTGTGTGCCTGAGCTGAAAATATTAGAGGTTTGCGAATGTGCATGATACGACTCTGATGCTCGTGTGTCTGTGTGTGTGAACCATTTTTGTCTAGAACACTCGAGCTGAAACCAGAGCCCTGACACCCCTAAAGCAGGAGTTGGTGATGGTAGGAACCACAGAGGGAAAGAAACTCGGATCAGAACTGGGGAAGTCTGCAACCTGGGACTTTGGCAGAGACAATATAGGGAGGGTAAGAAGGGGGAATTCAGCATTTCGTTTCCCTGTGTTTGCTGCATTGCTTTTTCTTTCTGCTGAAGAAATATTATAAACCCCTGGCTAGTTAAAGCCACACTTAAAGACTGGCTTCAACCTGTATCATAGAAGGCAGAAAGTTCTTGATATGGGATGCACTCGGATTGGCCTCTTGCGTTCCACAGAAGTTGTATCTTCTGTGTCTCTTGTGACCTTGCCTTTGTTTTTATGGTTTTATCGCATCTGTTTCCAATTTTGTGTCACCCTAAGAAAGCCCTCTTCCTGAAGGGTATCTGATAAAGCAACTTAATTAATGAATTGATTAATTAAGTGACAAGAACAGATGCTGGTGTGGCTTATGCATCCCGTGTGCACTTCTTGTGAAATATGCCAAGCAGGAGCTTCTAAAGCCAGATCCACATGCAGCCAGCAGAGATGCGCATCCGGCCTTGCATGTGAATGGCACCCCATGTTCACTGGGGGCCCAGTGGGCAAATGGGGCTCCCCATCTTCATCTCAGGCCATTCGGTTGTTTATTTGGACACTTGTGTGTCTAGAGCGGGACCTGTTGGATTTTCATGGTGAGTCACAATTAGTTTCTATTCCTGTTGTTAATTGTCGGGATAGGAGGGGCAGAACATTTCCACAGAGAGGCTCCTTACATTCAGTTGCTTTAAAAATCAAGTGCTTCACTTCAGTGCCACTCTCAAAACTTATTCCTGTCAGAAAAGTATCGTTTGCGATGTCCTTGTTCTGAGTGCGACAATCACATAAGCCAGAGTTACTGCCTGAAAGAAAACATGTTTCTTTATCCTCAGCTATATTATTTCACAACAAGGTGATGGTTTAAAAGTGCACAGCTACTGAAGCAAACATGGAAACTGTGATAGGCAAAGGGTACCTGCGAAAGAAACAACTAGGTGCCCTCCAGATGCACGGCACTTTGTGTCTCACTATCCCAGGCCATGCTAGATCCAACCCATAATAAGTAACTCATAATGAAACTAGAATAAAGAAACTTTTGTGGCAGGCAAGAAGGAACAGGATAAAAACTCCCAATAAAAATCAAAAGAATAAGAACACAGGAAAAGCTGTGCTGGATCAACCAAAGGCCTGGATCTCCAACCTTTTGGGGCACATCTGGAATTCTAAGGGAGTGCTGTGGGTGCTGTCACAAAATGGCTGCCATGGGGGCTTGCTTGCTTATAAAATGGGGGTGCCATTTTATATGGTTGGGGGTGCCCAGGCACAAAATGCTCTTTTTACTGAAGCAAACTGGTAAGACTAAAAGAAGTGTAATTTGCTGAAGAATCTAAGAGTAAGACAATGGAAGGGTCTTCTAAGCAGAAGATACCTCCTTTGAGATGCTGCTGCAGGACAGTGCATTGCTGAAATGCCTGAGCCACTTCTGTGGGGTCTGATGGCTCACACTGAACAATGGCATTTGTTTAGTGACATTTTAGATTGCAAAGATGCATTCCTCTGCCACCCAGAAAAATTATTTTCTCCAATAGACGTTATAAATTTACATAGTGCCATTGTCAGAAGAGCACATTTGATTCCTTAAGTGATCCCAACCTGATACTCTTCAGATGTGTTAGACTACAACTCCCATCATTTCTTTGATTTATAATATGCCGGTTAATTTTTAAAGAAATCTTAAGACATAAAAGCGTGTTAAGAGAGGCAGGAAGGACCAAAAGGCAATGGCCTTCACACTGGAGGCCCAGGACTAGCAAGTCCAGTATTGTTTTCCCACAGCAGCCACCCTGATGGCCAGCGACGGAGGAAAAGAGTGCCAGCAACCGAAATGTATAGGTGTGCTACCTGTCTTCCTGCAATACTGGAGGTTGCACGTGGGCATCACGGCTAGGGACCATTTGTAGCCTGACCTTCCATGAATGTGTCCAGCTGTCATTGGAAGCTGCTCAACTTGGAGGCCATCACTTTATCTAGAGGTAGCACATTCCATCGATTACCTGTGTGAAGTGTGAAAAAGGACTTCCTGTAAAGCAGCCGCAATAAAACTCTAGATTATCGTGCTGTGTTAAAACCCGTATTGATTAAAAGACATTTACATTTACAATGACACAAAGACAGAAGTGTAGAGAGCATTGCACAGATGGGATGCCACCACAGAACAGGTCTTATTTCCTAGTAATTTCTCACCAGATCACAGCGGGCAAGGTATCTGGAGAAGACCTTCACCAAACATTGCTGAGCTGTGCATAGGCTCTCATAGAAATGTGCAGTCCCAGGCCGTAAAGATCAGCCCCAGCACCTTGCTCAGAAATGAATGAACACCCAGTGAAACCACACTTCAGTGCTGCCAATATGAGTCTTTTATAACCCATCTTTGTCAGCAGCTGGTTTCACCTTCCACCCCGTAGCATCCCCTCACATGGTGCTCTACGTTGTGAGTGGAGCCGGCTGGAGCTGGGGGTCAGACTAGAAGGCCCAGGAGACCCCTTCTGATTCGCTCTGTTTCTATGTTCTAGAACAGGGGTCCTCAAACTTTTTCAACAGGGGGCCAGTTGAAAGGTTCTGGTAGTGGGAGCGGGCCACCAAGGCAGTGCGGGCAGGGGGCGCAGGCCAGTGCGGGGCAGGGGGGGCGTGCGTGCGCAGAGATCGTTTTCTCCGAGTGAGTCCAAAACGATCTCTGTGTGAGCAATCTGCCGCTGGGCATGCGCACTGCGAGGCGGTGGCTTGCTCACGCAGCGGTCATTTTCTCTGAGCAAGTCCAAAACAATCTCTGCATGAGCAAGCCACTGCCTTGCCACGTGTGCGTGTGTGTTTGTGGCTAGTCCAAAACCTCTATGATGGGCCGGATCCAGCCCACGGGCCATAGTTTGAGGACCCATGTTCTAGAAGGTCCTCCTGATCCTCCAGAAAAGATTTTTGGGGTAGAGAGAGAAACACCAAAACCTGCCTCTCTCATTTCTGCCCATGGGTTCACCTGAGTTGGGAGTTTCATTCAGCACAAGACTGGATCCAACCCCAAGACTCCTTCAGTGATGTAATTTACTGTTGCAACAAGAACAAATATTTTACATAATGTCTCCTGTTTTGTTTATTTCACTGTTCTGTTTCCTTAGTTTCCATGCACTTGTGGAATACCTTCTACAAAAACGATGATGCTGGACGGTATATACAGTGATTCAGATGCCAACAGCCTGGAAGGTTACCTGAGAGGCCAGGTGGGGACTGAGGAGGATAAGCAAGACAAGATGGTGGTTCATCTGGCCATGAATAACGAGACTCATTCATCAAGGAAAAGAGGGCTGAAGGGACACGTTAGTCTACGTATCATGCAAAACACACATGCCATTGACAAATACTCAAGATTAATATTTCCAGGCACTTATATATTTTTTAACTTAATATACTGGTCTGTTTTTTGCTGAATATGGTGAGGCAGGGATTGACCCCAGAGAGGGTTAGAAGACTCTGTTGAGCTTTCTGATACTACATGGCATCTGAGAAAGAAAACAATTTTTTCCTGGTGCAACTCTGAAGCATGAAGATACTGGCCATGTTTTTCCAAGAGGCGCTGTGCATAACACTATTGGAAACTATTCACTTGTGCCAGTTGCTTTCTTTTCCCCATCCCTCTCTTAATTTATGGTAGTCTCATCTTTCATACTTGAAACAGACACCTGTTGAACTCTGCTGCTGGAGTTACTTTACAAGTGGCACTAACAGTGACCCCCAGAATTTCCAGGATTTGAAACAAAAGTACCTGAAAAAAGCACGTGTGGTATGGATACTGCTGAAGAACACTGATTTTACAATACACCTGAAAAATCAAACCAAGAGCACAGTCAAAAAAACTTGGTGGGATTTTTCTAGCTAAATTCTGCAATCAGTAAACAAATGATTGAAAGAGTATTGTTTAAATATTGAACACATTTTGAAAAGATACACTCACCCAGAAGTTAGCCCTTCGATTTCTCACTCTCTATGGAGACTGATCTTTGACTGGAACGCGTATCAGGGCCAGTTGCTACTAGCTATTTATCCTGGTACTAACCTCTGACTCACCTGGGCAGCACCTAGCTCACTCTCCAATCTGTTGTCCTGATGGGATGCCTTCCTTGGCATTCTAAGCTTTTCCGCAAGATGCTCGTTATGCCTCATTCATCATGGGTTTTGAGTGCTTTAGACAATGGCAGCATCCTCCAAGGCTTCTGTCATGCTTTCCAAGTTTCCAAGCATTTTGTGGGGTTTATTTGCTCAGGGAAAACCCAGCATTTGGGGGAATGGTGGAATGAAGCTCTTGTGTAGCTGTGCAAATCCACTAAGCAACAGTGCCAGCTTGATGTTATATAGTGGAACATACAGAGAGGCAGAGAAATTTTAAAAAGTTGGAAAAACATGGAGAGGATCCCATCTCGATATCACAAAGAATCCAGAAGCAAAAGCCGCAGTGAATTAAAACCACAATGGTGAATTAAACTCTCCACCTAGGAAGGCCCTCTGTTTTTTTCCCAACAGAATAATATTTGCTGCTTGCGCTTTCTGTGTGCTGCCAAGTCAAGTGCATTCCAATCTAGCAGTATTTTAAGTTTCACTAGTCTGAGCAGGTTTAAAATGGTAAAACCTGGCCTGTAACATTTTCTGCACTTCTGTTGTCCTTTTCTTTCTGACCTTCTTTCATCCTAAATTAGGATTAGAAATTATTTCTTCTGATGGTAACATACAAGTCAAGTTTTTAAGACATTGTCCTAAAGGTCTCCATTCTGAGGTGGAAATATTCTTGTTTTTCTTATTTATTTGAATTAGAGATGAAGAATGGAAACATGAATCTAAAACTCATTCTAAATTTAAAAACAAGAAGTGTCTCAGAAAGACTGACAGATTTATTATGACAAACTTTCATGGACTAGACATGTCTTTGTCAGGTACATGACATGTTACCCTCAATCACATGCACACCTATACACATGCTCAGAGAAAAAAGATGCAGATATCTAACAGTAGGTTTGTGCTATTTCTAGGAAGACCCATCTCTGTATTACATTTCTATAACTATCAACCTGGGGAACGGCTCTAGATTGACAACGTAACATTGCCTAAGCCTGCACCATTTTACTGATCTAATCTCATCCCCTCCCCAGCTGCCCTTCACATATTTGTGGGTATGTTTTACCCGCTGAAGGCAAAAAGCGGCTCCGAGGGAGCAGGAGTGAGGAAGGAACAGGAGGATGGGTGGTACCTTCTCCAGCACTGGAGTCCTGGCTCATTTGGCGCCCCGCACAGCTACTTTTAAGCTTTAAAATGGTGGGATTTCCTCCATCAGCTCCCCCACTGTCTGGTCCTTTCAAAAAGGGATTCATGGCTGAAAGATGCTTTCAAGATTCTCCTTCACCTGGAGGTGAAATCCTCTGGCTAGGAAGGCCTGCATCTGAGCTATAGGTGTGAACATCAGTTGTGGTGAGGAGGAAAATCTATTGCATGTCTTGTTTGGTATTCTAATAGTATCCAGTGATATCACCACACTAGCATGAGTGAGATTGCACCAGTGCACCAAGGCAAGTTCAACTGAACCACTGCAATGAGAGAAGGTTCCTGCCCAGTTTCAGTGGAGAGGCCCTGCCGTTCCCTGGTGTGCTAGTTCTGTTGCACAAGCACCGACTTCATCTGGCACATGTCACTAGTACTCATGTTGGGCAGCTGTTCAGTGCTGCCCTCTGTTCCAGGGGTGATCCTTGTCTTAGTTGTAGCCATGACTAGGCCTTACAGCAATACCTAAAATTCTAGATAAAATACACATTCAAATACATAAGAAGAGTTCTGACTAGAGATTGTGTTTTGTTGGAGTATGAAACTAATTTGCAACTGATTTTTGGTTCACTGAAAAGGTTTATTCATCTGGAACTTATATATATGCTCCACTATGAATCCCACATTCTTAAAAATAAAGTCTTGCTATGTCGCATGCTGCCAGTGCCTACATCAGGGAACATTTCAGTGCTGGAACAGACTCTTGTAAGAAAAGGGGAAAAGAGGGATTACATTTTAAAAGCCACAAATCCTCTTTCCTGCTAATGCACATGCAATGTATATGAAAGAGACTCACTCTAGTGGTAAGCAGAGTGTGCTTCTCTGAGAGAGGAGAGCTCCCATGAAGAGTGCCATGTGCATCGGGAAGGGGGGATCAAATCAGGCACCCCCCAGGTAGGATGGTGGCTCGGGGTGGGAGCCAGGGCAGCTGCACCCTTAGGCAAAGGATGGTGCCCACCTCAGGGGGCAGATGCTGTGGGGCAGGGAGTGGCGGGTAAGGCCTTCTGCAGCTGGCTTATGGTCCTCATGACTGTCCCGCTGCTCCATCACCAGCCATTAACATCTGCTCCAGCTGCCAGTCTGGTTTGCTGCTTGGAGATGGGCACCCACTTGTCTTTGGGCAGCCAAATGTCTTGCGACTGTCCTGGTTGCAGCAAATGCTGGAGCCCCTTTTTCCTGCAGCTGCTTCTACACTCCAGCTGGCAATGATACACTCCGAGGCCCATATTTTTAAAAGTCTGCAGGCAATTCACATGAATGCACATGAAGTAGGTCCTTAGCAAGAAAGGTGCATTTGGCACACAGAGAAGAGCATAGGAAGAGCTGCTGGGTTGCAGAAAGGCTGCACCTGGCCCAGCGTCCTGTTCACACAGTGCTGATGTCTTCCCATGAAAATCCCACAAGACAGGAGCACAAGAGCATGCCGTGCCATAGTCAGGGCTACAGGCGTTCTTTATTCTGTGATCGTTAAATATCCCAGACCAGAGGCACTTTCTTGGGCTTAAGGCCTGTCAAGGGTTACAGAAGCCTGGAATTAATCTCTCCACCTCTTGACAGGCAACCAATATTGTCAGAGCTGCCGGTAGCAAACATCTATTGTGCAAGAGCACTATATGGCCACATGTTTGTGCTGGCTATAATTATTTTCCACAGCATCCCTTTGCACACCTATATGCAGGACTGCATAAAGGATGGCAGTCTATAGGCAGAAGCTCATTTCTACATGTCAGTTATAAATAATCTGTCTTCAGTCAGAAGTGCAAGATGGAGCTTGTTCATTGCCAGAGCTTCCAGGATAACTTTGGGCGTATCACTGAACCAGTTTGTGCCTCAGTTTCTCCATCTGTAAAATGGGGATGATGAAGTAGCCTACCTCACAGGAGTGTGGTGAGGTCTGCTTGACCAAAGAATGACTGATATTGTGTGGCAGCTTCTTGGGGGCAAGGCCTTCTATAATGGCAGGGTGTTATTTTTTTCAAGGTGAAAAAATGCCATTTTGTAGAGAATATATTGTATTAAGTAGTGTGTAGCTAATTAGTAATTTAATGTTGATTATAAAGACTCATCAAGGAAACTGGCTTCCTATGCATGTCATGTGGGGACTGTGGCTATAAAGGGGCCATAGTAAACCCTGATGCAATTTCAGCAGCAGTTTTGTGCTGCGCTAAATTTTTTCCAGGTTCACTATAATAGAATGGTGTACATACAGGGTAATATCTCCTGCAGCGTAGATAAATACCTTGGCTTCAGAGTGCTATTTATTTTTATAGACTCCCTTCTGCAACTTGGCTAGTGCCAGGAGACAGGCATTCGGATGCTACATTCTGTTCTGCTGACATGATCTCCCACTTAAATGCTACTTAATGAACTTGTCCTGAAGTGCTTAGCCTTAGCTAACAGCATGGTATGCACTTGTGTGTGGATGCAATACAATACAAAATGCTTTGAAAACATAAAGGTTCCAGTAGTGGTTTCAGTGGATGGCATTGTGCAGTCTGAGCACGTGTGGGTACATTTTTGGGTTTGTCTGTTTGTTTGTTTTCCTGGTTATGTAAGGGATCAATCTACACTTGTATAAACAGCCTAAAGTCCTGCAACTTGCAATACGTTGCTGAGGAATGCTGGGGATTGTGGACTTTGGCCTGTCTAAAGGTGCATAGGATTGTGCCCAAATGAATGTCTTGAATTTGTGCATGCGCTTGTTTGAGAATATATTTAATGTCTCTACGTTACTGGCTCCATAATGGATACTAATAAAAGCACAAGACAACAGTTTCTATGCATTTGCACTTACTTGTTATGTAAAAGGATTTTAAGCCACATTTCAGGTAGAATTCTCACTTGGTCTCCCCAACTTTTAATGACCAGCCTGAAAGCAACTCACTGGCCCTGTTTACACATCTCAGCAACTCCCCTGCCAAAAAACAGCCTGTTGCAGCTCCTGTGCCCAGCAGAGGAGATGCCTCATTGTCTCCCTTCCTTTCGCTCAGTTTTCCCACAGGTACCTCAGAGGTCTCAGTGGCAAGAACCATCTCATCTCCCCCCCCCCCCCCCTTTTTTTTTTTTTTTGCTGACTGTGAGTCCTTTTTCACTTGCCCCCTTTTTTTCCTGGAGATGGCTAACCTTTTGTGATCCCCAAAGTGACAGTCACTGGCATCCCCTCCAAAGGGCCCGAGTGGCACATTGGAGTAGTTGCCACTGGTTTGCTACTTTAAAAAAAAAACTTTTTTTTAAAAAAGTGCCTAAAATTGTATATCTTTGTCCTTTTTTTCTAAAATTCTTTTTCAAGGACACTCTTCCTCCCTTTATCATGACCAAAATGAAAAGCCTTGACTTAAAGTCCCAAGAAACGTCTTTGTCAAGGTGCAAGAGGCATTGTCCAAGAGCATTGATGAAGCAAGGTTACAAAGATGTTAATTTGTTGCTTTGCTTTCCCTCCATCGTTGT